TTGTCTGTGGCAGCTGTGGTCTTATTCTGGTCCCTTCACCCTGTCCATTTACACAAAAGTTTGGAGACAAAGTCATAGCTCAATGGAAAACAGGCCGTGTTCCTGAAAGTCATTGCTGTGCTCCATATGTTTTGTTGGAATATTTGCCCCTGTTTCTTCATTTAGCAAAGCTAAAAATTGTGTATGAAATAAAAAAGAATTTTAAAACCCCAACAACAACAAACACAACAGCAACAGAACCTTAGAGTTCAAGAAGTGTCTGGACAATGCCCTCAGGCACATGATGTGATTTTTCGTGTTGTCAAGTGCAGGACCAGGAGCTGGATTCAGTGATTCTTGTGGGCTCCTTCCAATGCTGGATATTCTATGATTCTGTGAAACTATGAACCTAAACTCAGAAATTAATCAATAGAAATAGGCAATACTCAGACTTGGATGACTCTGAGCAAGACTTGGATATTTGCAGAGGCAATGATTCTATGATTCTATGCAAGCTGCTCTTTTTTCAAATGTTCTTATTTGCTCCACTCAGGACACATTACTGGGATGGAAAAGGGAGTAGGACAGTGTTGGGCGAAGGAAGAGAAACAGTGTTTGATGGTATAAATATGTGGGGCAGCAATGCCAACCACGAAAAGGGGCCTCTCATCGTGGAAAAACGCTGCTTCTTCCAATTTGTGTCAAACAAAGCTGCCTTCAGCTCCAGAGGGGACAACCTCGACGAGCCCAGCCAGAGCCAGGAGGGGAGAGGGTGGGAGGGGAACAACACACGCCTCGATAGACCCACAGTGACTCTGCGTGGATGTCCTGAGCTACTGCAAAGAAGATTCTGCCTGATTTTGGAGGAGGAGGAACTCAGAGGGCAGTTCCAGACAGCAGGGAATAGCGGGACTGGGCTGGAGACGCCTCGGCTGCTCCTGCCGCTCCTCCGTCCCGCACATCCCAGCACCCAGAGCCCGAAGCTTCCCTCCCGCCGGGGATGCGGGAGCCTTCCTGACACCAGCCACACCACAAAGTGTTTTTCTTGACGTTTTGGAGGGGTTTTGGAGAAGTTTTGATGACCTCATTTTCCAGGTAGGCAGAGTTTTCCTCTCCTCTTGCCGCAGTTGTGTGGCTGTTTACTGACAGGTCTTCAGCTGGGAATAACAGAAATCCTTCTAAAATCCCAGACTGTGCCCCTGTATAGCTATCACCGTTCCTATCGCCACTCTTCATGGGCTCTCCAGTGAGGTGCCCATTTCAGGCACATTGTGTTTAGACAGTACCTGCTATAAAAGAATATATATCTTTCCTTTGCATTCAGCTTTTGGCTAGTTCAGGCATTTTGCCAAGCATTTTTTTCTGTGTGCGGGTAATGTGGACCACAAGCTATCAGCTACCAGGGCCAGAGGTCTAGAAAATCGCTGGTGGGGGTGAAATTTGTTGAACCAAAGCCTTCGTTGGGGTAACTGAGCTGAGTTCAGCAGATGTGCTGAAGCCATGGCAGCAGGAGCAGCAGGGCTGAGCGATGCTTTAATTCCCTCTGTTTTGGGTGATTTCAGAAGATACAGGTTAAACTATCCATATGTCCCAGAGATGCTGAGTTTCATCAGCACAAGCTCCTCCATTTTGGGAGGTAACATTTAGGAATGCCTGTGAACTCAACTGTGCTTGGTGGCAGGAGTCTGCTCCCTGCTCCCTTCCTGTGGCCCAGACTTTCCCTGGCTGAAATCCTGGGATAGTTACGTTAGGAGAACTGAAGAAGACCGGGGGTCCCTGCAGCTCTTGGGAAATATTCCACTGGGTGCTGTGCCTAGGGACTAAAATTACAGGGCACTTTTGGGTAGTGACTGCAACCAACAGTGAAATTCCCTCCTCATGCAGTGTGCAAACCATGGGCATACAAACGAGAAGGCAGAGGAGGTACATTTTTAAGAGTTTTGTTCCAAATGAGACATATTTTTTTCTTTTCTTGTTTTATTTCGCAAACATTTGAGTTGAGAAAATGCTGCATGCACTCTGGGGTGGCACTGCAGGCGCTGCCCACTGGCCATGGCTTTGGGATTAAGTACCAGGAAGGTTTTAAACTTTATTCTACTATTTTAGCCATAGCATAATTCTCTTTTCTTGAGTGTAATACAATTTGTGTGGCTTTGAATTTGTGTGGCTTTGAATAAGCTCTTTCCAGGCAGAGTTAGCTTAGAGAGCAGAGCACCTAAATTTTTGTGGATTTGGGAACATTTTGCTTGGTTATAATAGGTGATGTGGTGTTGGAGGAGAAATACACAACGCACCAGGAGGAACTTTAGGAATATCAGTGTGTGGGATAAGACAGACCATGGCTCTGCCTGGCCAGGCACACAAGGTGACTTTCCTAGTGCATTAAAATCTGCTCTATCTGATAATCAGATGGGAGAGCACAAGTAAGCTGGATAAAATTTGCACATTTGAGTCACTGCAAGTAGTTTGTTTGTTGTAATATTACATTTGGTTCAGTTGCTCAGGGTGGGCAGAGAAGCAAGTAGAGAACTCAGATCTTCCTGCAAGTCCACTTTTTTTTTTTTTCAGGGCTCTGTCTAGATAAATCCCTATGTTTCTCAGTTATAGGTGTAACAACCAGGTCACCTGGGATCGGAGGGTGGGAGCAGCAAAGACCATGCATTTTTCTGCTGAGTATCTGAGGTAGGAGCAGAGACCCTAATGCAGAGAGGATGGTGCAAAGTAGTGTCCTCAAAATCTGTTCAGAGGACTCAAACCCACTGCTCGAGAATGCCTGTTGTTTTGTCCCTTGTGTGCATCTCATGGGGAAAGAGATGAAACACTCAAAAATAAAAATACTGAGGGAAGGCCTCATAGGAAAAAAGGTCCTGATGTGGCAGAGAGAGAAAGGTCAAAGGAAAACAGGATAGGCAGACCCAAGTTCTCAGACATAATAGTTCAGCTCCCAGTTTGCTGTTTCCATTAGCTTTTTTTGACTGTCAGGGTTCAAAAATTATCTTCAACATCCAGAAAATGTGTTAGTCCAAAATCCTGGGGAAATTGATTTCCATCTCAGTGTTTTGCTGTTGGAGATTGGTCTATAAGTCAAATGTCATGAGATTTGAAACAGCATCACAGTGCCCTGAGGATGACAAAATAGGCACCATCACCCACCCCAGCCTTGGAGACCTTTTCAGTGGAGAGAGGAGTTCCCAGCAGCTGTCTCATCGCACATCCACTCAGGTTAACTCCTGGTGCGATGCTGGTAAAGCAGAAGGCTAAAGTAGCTCAAGGTGCAGAGTGGAATAGAGGTGATTGTGTGCAAGAGGACCACAAAGAAGTGGCTTGTGTCTCGTGTTTTCAAGTGTTGCTTTTCTGCCTCACTTTTTTGCCTGTGTAGAGGCAAAAGCCATGGTGCTTCAGTGCCCCAGACCCAAGCCCTAAGAGCTGTGGGCAGGGCCCATCCTGTGCCAGAGCTGGCCCTGGCTGCCTGTGCAGGTTAGCTGCTCACCATGGCTCTGCCTGGAGAGCAGCTCTTCTGCATGGTGTCTTCCATTCACACACACACACACACACACACACACACACACACACACACACACACACACACACGCGCGGAAGAGGCAGGGAGGGAGGGAGGGAGAGTAGGAGGGAGGGAGGGAGCTGATTAAACTCCAGATGCAGTCATGAGTCAGACACTTGGCCAAAGTCTTCAGCAGCACTCCCAGCCTCTCCAAAAGTTAGTCTCCATCTTCCTCAGTGAAAGGCTGGCTATAAAATGGTGCTGTCTGAAGGCACAGACCTGTTGTGTCCTACAAAAGGTCGGGATCTCCTGCAGCTTTGTTTTATGAAGGGCAGACAAGACAAGGAAAGCCTGCAGTAAGGTTAGAGGGAAGAAGTCTTGAGCTTAACTAAAACACTCCTTTAGCACTAAAGTATTTTATCCTTCTGTTCTCTGCAGCACAATGAAAACTGAGCCACAATGTCCTATGCAGGGACGTCATGGAATCATAGAATCGCAGAATGGCTTGGGTTGGAAGGAGCATTAAAGCTCATATTGTTCCACACCCTGCCACGGGCAGGGGCACCTTCTACTAGACCAGGTTGCTCCAGGCCCTGTCCAGCCTGGCCTGGAACACTTCCAGGGCCACGAACAGGCCATTCTGGTTAGTGCTAGTGTCCTCTAGACGTGAAGGTGTGCATCGCCTCTTCCTCCATGTTCTGTGCTGGTGACAATTGTCTCTTGGGTGCTGTCTGTGAATAGCCTTTCTACTCCAAGGTTCCTTCAAACACATTCCCAAGAACTTTTCAGACTAGATATCTAACTTTTCTGCTGCTTTAAATATACATTTATGTATATAAATATACATTTACGTATATATAAATGAAATATGCTCCCGTGTGTAGCTGGACCTTGGTGGCTCAGTGATGGGTTGAACACTAAAGAGGTGCACTTCTTCTAGTGGTTGTTTATTCATCCCTTCACTTCCTGAGTTGTGCAGGCTACAAAGCAGCACTGTCAAAAGTATTTTGTACCCATTCAGCACACAGGTATTGCCACCCACATGGTGAGCTGGAAAGGACCAGCTGCACACGTTCACTGGTGGTCTGTTCAAGCAGGTGAAGAGAGAGGAACATGAATGTGCGTGTCTGTGTGGATAAGGAGTGATGGAGTCAGAATGGGCATGGCATGGTCAGACACACACCTGGAGAGAAACTATGGAATCAGAAGGTCCTGATACACTGTCCATAGCTTCACCACCTAATCCCTCCATTCAGGTTGGCAGGGAAGCTAAAGCAGTTTTAAATCATTCACTCATGCTCCAGCAAAGGAAATATTTAGATCACTTACCTTTTAAGTCAGTATGAAAATCTGCATTAGTGTTCCAGTGATGAAGAGGTCTTGTTTGTCACAGGCAAGGTTTACAAGGAGCATTGGCTGGCTTTATGTTTTCCCACCAGAGTTAGGAGGTTGTGTATCACATTTAACATGTAACCTGTGTTTTCCCACAGGCATCTGAATATCCTGAGGGACTGCTGAGATGTTCCAACAAGCTTTGTTTTCCACTCTCCTCTGTGTGGCTTTTGTTCCTCTACATGCTCAGTTTGATGGGGATACTGGAGATGTCAGTTCTACCTCCTGTGCAGGTATGAACCAAATAATTTGGATGTGTCATTGCTTTGTAGGCAGCAATTTTAACAAAAGCTTAATTGTAGAACCTGCTTGCCAGGAACTGACAGTAGGACATTCCACCTCTCTTGCCCCTTTGCCCTCCTGTGGTAGCAATCCATCTGTAGGAGACACTGTCCTCCACCCCAACTCATGTTTCTGGGTTTGTGCTGGAGTGAAGAGAGGTAGAGCTGGGATGTCCCAGTGGATGGAGAAGCTGGGGTCTGCCAGTGGTGGCTTTTCCCAGCGGATGTAGCAGCAAATGCCAGTCAATCTCCAGTACTCAGCTATCTATCCTATGCCAGAAAATAATTCACTTTAAATTTGATGATTGCTTCACTTTCCAGTTGCAGTGCAAAGGTGATTTACATGTCCAGAAAACAGCAAGATCTTCAAGACTGATTCAGTACTGAGAAGTTCTGGGTTAATGGTTGGACTCAGTGATCCTAGAGGTCTTTTCCAGCCTTAATGATACTGTGATTCTATGAGTGGATCTTAGAAGTCCTGGGCATGGGGGAGCCATCTGATTCAAACACAGATGTCACTTCTAGAGCTGGGTGGCACTTGTGCATTTTCCAGTATTGCATGTGGTCCAGGTTTCTGGGGATCAGTGAAGGGGGAGCATGCAGTGCTCTGACATGCTCTGAATAATTGTCTCCATGCAGAAAAAAGAAACTGTCCCATCAATGTCTACTTCATCATCGACACCTCGGAAAGCGTTGCTCTGCAGACTGTGCCCATCCAGAGCCTCGTGGACCAAATAAAGCGGTTCATCCCTGTGTTCATTGACAAACTGGAGAGCGAGCTCTACCAGAACCAAGTCTACATCACTTGGCAGTTTGGTGGGCTTCATTACTCAGATGTGGTGGAAATTTATAGCCCTTTGACAAGCAGCAAAGACATTTACCTGCCCAGGTTGTCCGCTATCAACTACCTTGGCCGGGGCACCTTCACGGACTGTGCTATCTCCAACATGACAGAGCAGATCCAGACCCAGATGGCCAGCGGTGTGAACTTTGCGGTTGTTATCACTGATGGCCATGTCACCGGCAGCCCCTGTGGGGGGATGAAGATGCAGGCCGAGAGGGCCCGAGACATGGGAATCAAGCTCTTTGCGGTGGCTCCCAGCGAGAAGGTGTATGAGCAGGGGCTGCGGGAGATTGCCAACCTGCCCCATGAGCTGTACCGCAACAACTATGCCATCACGCAGAAAGACACCCTGGACATCGATGTCAACACCATCGATAGGATAATCCAAGCCATGGTATGGGGTGCTGCATGAGGGGCAGGGAGTACAGCAGGGAGAGGAAGAGAAACAGTGCATGGGTGAGGGGATACTTCCCCCTGTATTAGGTTTTGGCAGGGTTCTGGCGAGTACCTCTAGCAGGGAAAACAGAGTCGAGCATGTCTGATTTTTCTGGTGGTAAACCAGGACTCCTTGGTTTGTGCCTGTTTCCTGGCATGTCTGGGCAGCCTGTCACCCTAGTCCTAGCTCTTGCTGAAGGCCAGACCCATGCCCCAGCCTGCTCCCAATCCAGGGGCAAGTGGAAGTGTGTGCCACGCTGAAATGTGTGCTCATCATCAGCGTGGTCTTTGAGATCCTGCCCATGAGGCACTGTTAATCAGGGGCTCTGCTCCTTACAGTCATGGGACCTTTACCACCTCCTCTCCCTCACTGTCTCACACCCCTATGAGGGCAGGATGCTGTCTTTCCCTTGGGGTTGACCACCCTAACTGATTCTCTTTACCCTGTTCTCTCCTTTGCAGAAACACGAAGCCTATGGAGAGGTGAGTGAGAAACATCTTTATGCCATTGCCACATGACACAGGTTTAAGTTGCTTCAATTAAAGAAGACCCAAAACAGCATGCATCTGCATGGGATGGGTCTCTGCCTACTCGTGGACCTGTGCCAGGATCCAGCTGGGGACACGTCCTCTTACCCAGTGGTTATAATGGCACAGTGGACTCTTCACTCTCTGCCTCCCTATCACCTGCAGTGAGTTCAGGTCTACAGAATAGGCTCATTTCATCACTTTGGAGGTGCGTTCCACAGGTGCTGACAAGCTGAAGCTCCTGCCCTGCTGGTACCGTGGGGACAGGATTTGGCATACAGAGGGAGGAATATGCAGGTGATGGTCCAAAGGGCATGCCCATCCCCTGATGACCCCAGAAGAGCAAGCCCACACCACCTCTGATGCTCGGCAGTCTTGTTCTTCCAGTTTGGGCCCAGAGCCAAGCTATATGAACACGCTTGTGGCAAATTTCTGCTCCTAATTTATGGGCATCACTTCTTTGCCTGCTTGTTCCTGCCTCAACCCTGACCCAGCTGGAGCCACAGTAGCTTTTAGGCCTGAGTTCATGGGGAGAGGTGCATGGAGAGCCATGGATACAGAGCTGAGCTGGGTTTTGAGTGCATGCTGTCCCAGCACATGATGCAGTGGCACACTGTTTAACTAAACATCTCCTGTTTTTTGTGTTTCAGTGCTACAAGATGAGCTGCCTGGAGATTGCAGGGCCACCTGGTCCCAAGGGATACCGAGGGCAGAAGGTAAATTGCCCTAAGCTGTGGGAAAGAGGATAATGCCAGTGCCTGCCACAACCACTGCAGGATGCCCTAGACCCCACCTCAGCTGCCTTCTCAGGTAGCACCCAGGTAGCACCCTGGGAGACACAGCCAGCACTGGTGTGCCTGTGTCTGTGCTGAAGGTTATGCACCGCCCATCAGTGCAGAGAGACATTAGAGCATTTGCTGTGCACTTCCACCACCTGACAACAGGAGTGAGGCAGCAGTTGTCACTGAATCTCCCACTATTAAGACAGAGCTTTCACATGCACAGGGTGTCCCACTCTCCTGCCCCAGTTCTGTGTGCTCCCTGCCCCATACAGTCTTTCCCTGATCTCCCCAGAATAAAGCAGGTCCTGCCCAGTTTGAGCAGCTGCAGAGAGCCTGATGCTCCCAGAAATTACCGTTTTCTCAGTCAGCACCAGGCCTGGACTTAACGTTGAGTTTTTTCTCTCCTTAGGGTGCAAAGGGGAGCATGGGTGAGCCAGGCTCCCCTGGGCTGAAGGGACGACAGGTAAGTTGTGGAAAATCCTCCCCTCCCTTTGCGGGGGCTACATCTCTGACGACCTCAAGCTAACTCTCCGTGTCTTCTTCCCTGAAGGGCGACCCAGGTATTGAAGGTCCGATCGGATACCCTGGTCCCAAGGTAAGAACCCCATAGCCGATGGCTGAGCTCTATGCATTCCCTGGGTTTTGGTAAAGCAGGGGGACCTTTGCTTCTCCCTCGGACCTGCCCATTTCCTACCCCAGACTCCTGCGCTCTATTGCCTCCGCTCCTGTTGATTTCCCAGACACTAACAGTGATTTTCTGTTTCTTGGTTTTTTCATTTTTTCCCCTTTATTCTCTTATCTAGGGTGTCCCAGGGCTGAAAGGAGAGAAGGTGAGAAAGAAAATACGGAATGGCTGGCTCGGTACTTGGCGTACTTGGCGGGGCAGCGCTCCTTTCTGATGCAAAGAGGGAGAAATTAGTTGTAATGAGGAGGATAACAACTTTATTAACGTGTAACTGCAGACACGGGGAGGGATGTCTCCTCCTTCAGGCTTTGCTTACAGGCTGGTGAAGTGATGATGGTTTTAGGCTGTAAATGGGGGACGGGGGATGTAGGCAGAGTGCCTGACTCCTGTCCTCTTTTTCTCCCAGGGAGAAATTGGATCCGATGGACGGAGGGTAAGAAAAGACCATTTCTAACTTGCATGTTCTTCCTGCTACCAACTCGTGGAGTGTGTGTTAACAAACTCCTCTTCTTTTTTCCCCTTGATACCAGGGTGCCCCTGGTTTGGCAGGCAGGAACGGCACTGATGGACAGAAGGTAACTGGGAGCACTAGGAGCACCTCATAAAGTCTCTGCTGCTATTTCATTTCTTACCCTTCTTCGTCCCCACGGGCTGTTTTGTTTCTCCCATCCTACACACTGACTTTCTGCTCTGACTGAGGGTTCTATGAACTTATTTGCACATTATTCTGCATGTCCTGTAGAAATATGTGAAGTAATTCAGGTCACAAAACATCCTGAGTTGGAAGGGACCCAGAAGGATCATTAAGTCCAACTCCAGGCCCTGCACAGGACAGCCCAACAATCCCCCCATGTGCCTGAGAGCATTGTTCAAACATTCCTTGAGCTCTGTCAGCCTTGGGGCCGTGACCACTGCCCTGGGAAGCTGTTCCAGTGCCCAAACACCCTCTGGGGGAAGAACCTTTTGCTAGTACCCAGCCTAAACCTCCTGCCCGACATAGCTTCATGCCATTAAGTGCTGTCCCTCTGTCAGCAAGCTCTCTGCAGGACCTGAATGCATAACTCGGTCTGTGCTCCTGCTGCATGAGGTGACACGGCCAGATAGATAATTTGGGTGTAGATTCCTTATCTTGAGTGTTAGTGACCTCTACAGCACACGGACACAGGCAGCTTTGCAGAAATTTGGTTTTCAATGCAGTTTGTCACAGAATCTGAAATTTCATCTCTAAACTACTGCTTGTTTAATCCTTATTAATACCCTAAAACCAGGATCTAAGGTGTCATAACAAAGTCCCTGGCTTTGTCCACTGGCCAGCACACAGCTTTGTTCTGCACTTTCTCATATACCAGGCCAGTTATATCTGTGAGGTAATAGCAGTTCTTCCCACTCCTCAAATGCCTGATGAAGCTGCAAACCACCCTTCAGTCTCCCCCACTCTCTAAATCACTGCCCTTGAGTCCCCACCACTCTATCTGGGATGAGCTGTCTAAACACTGTTGGCAAAGCCATTCTGGAGCACACGGCAAGGCAATCCTTTCTCTCACAGCATGTCAGGCAGTGTAGTCACTGCATACTTGAGCTGTTCTGACAGGAGATGCACGAGAGAGGACCAGCACAACCATGGACATGAATGACCACCAAATCCAGCCTCAAGGGATGTTTCCATCACCCAGGGCACATGCATGGGATGAGCATGACTGAATTCTCACTCCCTCTTGGGGCTTTAGACTGCTTTCTCTTCCTCCACTTGCCTCTGCACACCCCACTCCTGTTTAAGGAACACACTTGCTATTTGTTCTCTACCTGGTGACAAGTAAGGTCAGTGAATGATGCTAAAAATTAATAACTGTTAACTGGAAAAGCTGTATTTTCCCTTCAGATGCCTACAGCTTCTCAGTCTTTTTCTTTTGAATGCAATCTCTCCAGGGCAGGCTGGGGAGAATTGGACCACCAGGATGCAAGGGTGACCCCGGTGACAAGGTAAGAGCATCTTACTCTTCCATCAGCACATCCGTTGTATAGCTGCTGAGTGAGTTACATGTGTAGAAAGATGATCAACAAGGTTACTGGCCCATTTTCTTACCAGCTGCATAGTCTGATCCCAGACCTGGGATCCCTGGAATGGGGAGCACAGTTTAACTTTCCTGTGCCTCTTTTCCATGGGCAAGTAAGTTGGGAGCCCCCCATGTCCCTCCTCTCCCTGTAAAGAGGAGAAGCTGCCCCTTTCATCAACACTAGCAACAAGCAGAAACAACTTTAATCTCTGGAGCAACTTTCTAAGCACTGGCTTCTTTCTCTCCTTAGGGTGCACTGGCTTAGAAAGTTTTATTGGATTTATTCTGTGGGGAAAGCGTTCCCACTGTGAAATGTGTGATTCTTTGTCGTTTCCCTCCCCAGGGCCCTGATGGCTACCCAGGAGATGCAGGAGACCAAGGTGAAAGAGGAGATGCAGGCATAAAGGTAAACTGCTCTGGACAGACAGCATAGTGTGGGCAGAGGCCTCCAGCTGGAACAGCTAAACACCATTCCCTGTATTTACTCCTAAATCCTACACTGCTCATGGACCCCGTAGGCTTTGGGGTCTGGATCCCATCTCAAGGCACAGGAACCAAGGGAAGAACCTTGTTGACCATGCTCCTTGGGCTGCTCATGGTGCAACATGCTGATGAGGCAGGGAATGACCATTGCTCTCTGGCTGTTTCAGGGAGATCCTGGCCGGCCTGGTCGCAGTGGACCCCCAGGACCTCCAGGAGAAAAAGGAAGCCCGGTAGGTTCATGCAGCATTCAGATGCCTCCACTGTCTTCCTAGGGTCTGCTCCACATGGTATGGAGCTGGAGCAGAATCGACTGCATGGTCATGGTCAAAGGTGTCTGTGTGCCAGGGCATCATGGGGATTCTGCAATGGAGAATGCATAAGCCCCCAAGTGGTTGAGGGAGCTCTCTTACCATGAGTATCCCCACCAGTACAGTGGGAAACAGGAGAGGGGACCCTCCAACATCCCTGCAGCTGCCCAGAACAAAATGGAGATGGGTCTTGAGCAGCCAATCAGAGCAGAGAAAAGCAGGCAAATTAGATTTGGGATGATTTATCTTTCTGGCCAATCCAGTGACAGAAGCACAGAATCGTTTGGGTTGGAAGGGACCTTAAAGATCACCCAGTTTCAACCCCCTGCTGTGGGCAGGGACACCTTCCATTAGACCAGATTTCTCCAAGCCCTATCCAATCTGGCCTTGAACACTTTCAGAGATGAGGCTGAGATAGCCCCAACCCCCTCAGAACTGGACAGATGCTGTAAGAAACAGCTGACAAGCCTCTTTTCAGCTGATGGAGGGATGGTGACACAGCATCAAGCTGCTCTAAGGCTGGAGCCTGTGCCCCTGGCAGTGATGTGTAGGCATGTAGGGTGTGTGGAAGCAAAAGCTAGGTGTTCAGACACCTCTCTGTTTAGGGTGAACTACTTGATACATGATGAAAAGGGAGTGTGTGTGCACCTTGACCTCTATTCCAGCAAATTATTTCTTTTTCTTCTCCAAGGGACTTCCAGGCAATCCTGGAGCTCAAGGGCCTGCTGGAAGCAAGGGGAGGAAAGGTGAAGCAGGACCTCCTGGACCCAAAGGAGAGCCTGTAAGTGTCTGGACAGTGGGCACACCACAGAAACCTGGTAAAATTTCATGGATGAGCACTGAGAAACTCCTCCATTCAGCCTGCCTACCCTGCCTTGTGCATCCAAAGAGATGTGCAGATACTGATCTCTGTGTCTCTCCCATCCTCACAGAGCAGCACTGCCATAATCCTAAACCTGATGTTAACCATTTCACCTGAGAGAAGGACTCTGCATTCTCACATAACCACAAAGGCCTGGCATCTGTGGATGCCTAGGGACCCTTCGACTTTACTCTAGCAAGTTCCCCAAACCGCCAGCTTCTTGCAGGAGCTCACAGAATCAAGATCTGGTGGCTATTATGAGCTCTCTGAAAAGAGCAGTGTCATGATATCTGTGGTTCCACACAGACCCAAGTTAATATGATGGGGCATTGCAAATTCTGGTGAGTGGGCTGGAGACAATGTTCCAGCACCAAGGGGTCAGAGCCCAGCCAGCTTCTGTCCCTGTGCAAGGAATGAGCTGGAAATAAATCAGAGTCTTTAAACCTGAAGGAATGAACCAGTGTGTTTTTGGGCACTGCAGTGACCACTGTCTTGAAAGGAGTCCGGCTGTGGCTTCCCAAAAGGAAGCATGGGCATCCCTGCTTCCCTACTGCCAAGTACACACTTGCTAAGGGGGCACAGGTGCATCTCTTGGGCTCAGAGGGAGGAGGTAGGGCAGCCAGGTGTCACTGCTCATGTGACACCCATTTTCTCATCCCATTTATGTGACTCTGTATCTGCTAAGGGTCGACGTGGAGATCCAGGGACAAAGGGCAGCAAAGGCACTCCTGGGGGCAGAGGAGAAAGGGTGAGTAAAGCAACTACCCAGACCCTTGCAAATGGGCCCAAGGTGGACAGGACTGGAGTGTGTGATAGGCTACTGCTCAGCCATGCAGTGTCCAATACCAGAGCTGGGAATTGCAGATCCCGTTGTGCTGTGCTGCCACTGTGCCTGCTGCCTGTCCTGCTGGCATCGGGTGCAGCCTCTTCCTTCAGAAAGGCTTGGTCCAGAGAGGAGATTAACAGCAGCAAAGCTCAAGGTTAAGCGACACATT